CCGACTGGAAACATTGATGTAGTACAGTATTGTTTCTGTCTGCAATAGCCCTACTGTGTTGTAACATGGTGTGGTATATGGGCAACTCTGGTAACGCTGCCCTCTCATTCACAGATCTGCTAACCGCTATGTTACGCTCACGTGTCCTCTGATAATAATAGCTTTCTAGGACTAGACATTATTTGGATATTTAGTAAAAAAAACTACTGTTAGACCTACCTGAAAAACTAAAAAGCAATTTATTTAATTCGAAGGCCTGTCGTTATTTTTTGTTTGTGCTATCGTTAGTTATTTCTTTATTTGTTCTTATTTTATTACTGACTGCTTACTTATAATTTTTTACTCAATTCAAAGTTTGAAATCAAGCTATATTGTGCTACTGCACCAAAATTACCCCACTGTAAAATTAAAAAAACACTTGAGTGAGCAAAAATTTGTGAGATAGCTAGTTATAATGGTAATTAAATAATGTTTACATATGTATAAAAGCCTACATTAAAATCTGTCATATAAATTGGTCTCTTCATTAGAAATTAGCCTACTGATTGCAACCATTGATGGACAAAATTTTTTAATAATATTAAAAATATCTGTATGACATTATATTCGGCAGTTCTTCCCTGCTGTACCGAATATCTATACTTTTCAGATGATCATATCGAAGTTAGAAATTCAAATATTATGACAAAATTAATTTTGTAGGGTGCCACAAGTTTGTAAACATTTCCAAAGGGTGCCGCGACTAAAAAAAAAAAAAGGTTGGGAAACACTGGACCAGCGTATATCCAGCCAAAAGTTCACAATATAAATGTGTACACATATATGAGGAGGGTTGAATATGAACTTCTACCCCAACAGCCACAGTCTTTGTTAAATACCCACCTCAATTTATAGAAGAAGTAATAATAATTACAATTAATATTAATAACGATAATAATAATAGAATTGATTTGAATAATTAATAACTACATAGTAATAATACTAACTAAAATGCTCTTTTATCAAAACAATTGTATTGATACTATTAACTATTAATTTTTAATAATTAAAATGCTTTTTTTATTTCTAAAATGTTATAACTTATTAAATGAAACATTAATATTAATAAAATTATGGTATGTAATACATTAATAATAACAATGTTATTGCGCATGTTATATTTGAATAAATATGAATGGTAATTACATATTAATTAATATAATTAAAATGCCATTATTGTTTATTAAATGTTAATAATTATTCATTAAATAATAACCTTTAATAGTAATAAAATGTTCTGCTATGAATAACAATAATACATTAGTAATACTAATAATAAATTATTGTGCATAAGTGTTTTAATTTACAATAATGATATAATTCTTTTTTTTATATTAATGTTAAGGAAATATTAAGTTAATATAATTAATGGTACGTTATGCTAGTTGTTGTGGTTTATTATTATTATAAACAATCTTGTGGCATTCACACAGTTTCTGGCCTTTAAAATGGATATGGATCTGTTTTTGATTCTGAATAACATTCCCAAATCTAGTTAATACTGATTATAAATGGATGCATTGTTTATATCTAACATTAAAAAATGCATTTCTGTAAAGCTGCTTTCAAAAAAGAAAAAAAAAGTAACGTGAAAGGTACTATACAAATGAGCGTGACTTGATACGATTGGAGTTGTTCCAGTGGGCCGTTCACAATCACTCCGATTGTGTGTTTGCAGGAGTTTGCGGGTGAGGACTCCACAGATCTGTTCCTGGAGGAGAGGGAAGCGGCTCTGCGTCAGGCTCAGGAGGAGAAACACAAGCTCCAGATGTCTGTCCCAGGAATCCTCAACCCTCACGAGCTCCCGGAGGAAATGTGTGAATGAGCACCAGGACAGTTTCACACTCATGAAGGAAGCGTTTGGAGCACTTTAAGCTCAAGCGTGTGTTTGTGTGCGTGTGTATAGAGAAGTAGCAGTCAAATGAGGACAAATAGGAAAATGAATCCAGATGTTGGTTGTTTGTCGACCAAATCCTTGCCAATATGTAAATTAAAGACATGTCAGTTATTAGTAACCTGACTCTTCCCAAACCCTTTGGTTTTACATAACAGAGCATTTTATATAACGGAAACTGTCTCTCTCGTATATATCAATTTACTGTATATCCTTCAATGTTTCTGTTTGGTATGTTTGCTTTCCTGTTTCAAAGCACATTACTAATCATTTTAATGTTTTCTCAGCCTCATCTGTTTGTGAATATGTAATATACAGTGTGGCAGGCCAATGAAGACGGACAGTTACTGCGCAAGAAGAGAGATTTGTGTTGTTGAGCTGTGCGGCTGTGTGGTTCGTGAACCACAGCAAGTGAATGTGACTGTTTAGGATCAGTCCTGATGCTGTTCCCGTCGTCTTTATTGGGGGTTTGTGTGTGTTTATATATATTTTTTCGTTCAATTGCAGTAAATGAGAAAGACGAGTCTTTTTCATGCTACAGACCCACTGAGTGTTTTTTCTTTTGGCATAGGGATGTCATTCAAATGAAAGGGTTTGTTCATATCATCCTATTTGTAAAGCTGTGTATTAGTACTATGGAAACATAAAGTTGGGTATTTTTACAAAGCATTGTGTGTGTTTTTCATTTAGCTTGTAGGACTTGTACTGAAAACATTTAAAATACTATAATTCTGTAAGTATTCTAGCAGCCTTACATTATTTTGTTTAAATTTCCTACTGTGATACTTTACTAGAGTGTCTTATTAATCTTGATAAAGCGATAAATGTGTTAAATAAGCATATTAGAAATATAATAAGAAACATTTCGTACGAGGGTTGCTTAGTAATTGTTAAAACTGACACGTTTTTCAGGATACTTTGATGAATAAAGAGTTCAAATTAAAAACATTGATTTGAAATAGAAATCCTTGTAATATTATATGTTTTAGTGTTACTTCTGATCAATTTAATTAGGTTTCTTTTAAGGACACCAAACTCTTGAACGGCAGTGCGTATTTTACATTGCATTGCAAAGGAGTAAATATATATATATATATATTAATTACAAAGCAAACGGGATTTCTGTAATACAGTGCAGATATCGAAATTAAAACAGCACACGTACACGTGCTCGGCTGCGAGAAATCGCGAGATTTCGGAAGAATGGCCGAAAAGGCCGGAAGCAGGCGTAACGAAAACAGCCGATGTGTAACACACGGTCGCCCCTCCCTCTCCAGCTGCTAGTTTTCCGGAAAAAGCCGAACGACCTGCAAGACGACTCGGCGGAAGCAGCCGATGTCTCGCACAACGTTACCCGCCTGGCTCCGAGCGACCGCGAACATTCCCGGGAAAACCCGAACATTTCCGAAGTCACCCGACAGAAACAACCGAAGTGTAACTCCAGTCCCTGTTCATCATGGCTGCCGTATGTACTAGTCTGCACAGTAACGCTCTGCTCGGAGACTGACTCTCCGCTCCTTTAGTGCCTCACATTTACTTTCTCCGCCTCGACATTTCGGCAAATAATCCCGCTTGCATGAGCCCAAACCTCCCTGGTTGTGTTGTCTCATAATAACCAGCCTTCATCAAGCATTTCGTCGGGCCTTAAACACCCCCTTAAAAAGACAGAGAGAAAAACAGGCAACATTTTGTTTCTCCAATGGTCTGAATACACTTTCCGCCTTTATGAACCATGTGTGAGAACTGCGCCGAGCTGCTGGAGGTGCTCAATGAGAGTAAGTCAACAGCATTTGATTGTTTTTTGTAACGTTAGTTGTTTGCAGCAAGTTGTTAGCATGACTGTCCGAGCATGCGGCTCGCTGCCTCGATTCAGCGCAGATTTTATGTGTAATATTTAAGCATTCACACTTTTTGTCAACGTGTGCATTTAAAAGAGCGTTCAAACACCCTTTGGCTGTGATTATTTGTCTTTTGTTTGATTTTGATATCTGTTTTTTTTATTAACGCAATGCTAGTGGAACGTGTTAGCCCCTCATCATTTCAGAATTAAATCGTCAAACAAGATCAGCCACAAAATCTGCTGTTTATTTGAAACGGAAGCATCAGAAAACGTCTTTATGTGTGCGCTGAACACCAGCCTGTTTTCATATGTTTGGAGGCTGATGGGAAGTTGAACTGGCATCAGCGTTAGCATTAGCCTAAGCAGAAGTGTTTGACATTGTCATCCTTCAAAATGCTCACAGTTCTGTATCTGATCGCCCAACACGACCCATGCTGCAGTGTAATTCTGCTTGAGCGAGTGATTTATGAGGGTTCATGCGATCTGACAGTCGGGATGTGAGTTTTTAGCAGTCTTAGGCCTGCTGATGGCTGCTGTGTTTGTGTGCTTTGTTGGATGGAGAGAGTGTGATGGGGATTCATGCGCTTTCTTTGCTTCAGTACTGATGTCTTGGCAAGACAGTGACTGAAATACCACGGTGCAATTGTAGTGAAGGATCACCATGGCTTTTGCATGATACTTTAAAGAACTACTATGACATATATGTCCAAAATCCATGGTACTCTGCTGGTACAGTCATGATGTTAGATATATGTGCTGAAGATTACCGTGGTATTTCCATGATTATTTGAAAGAATTACTATGATAAATGTTAAAATACCTAGGTACATGCTTATGCTTGTACAGTTATAATGTCAGATGGTACTTTTGGTATATACTATTGCATTGAAGGATCGTAATTGTGTTTGCATAGTATTTTAAAGAATACCATGGCGTTACGATTGTACATGTCAAAAAAGTGGACAGATCAGTGATACTGAATGATTGCCTCATTGATATACCATGGTGTTATATAGTAGGGCTGCACGATTCGGCAGAAGCTGCGATTGTCATGCGTATCTTTCAGTGAAGCACGGTTCTGTGATCAGTAGTAAATCTCCATCCAAAGGCCAGAGGGCGCTCTCGCGCTGAAACTCCAAATACGCCTCGCAGAAGAAACCCAGAAAATGCCTATCGCTGCAGCTGAATAAACAGAAGATTCAACTGCTTTCATTGATTCAACGTGACTAATAAACACACGACGATGGCAATATACGGTTTATCGGAGTTCTTCTTATTATCATTTTCTTTAAAATAAAGTATATGTATAATGCAATGCCTTTATCACTGCTTAAATACTATGAAATATGTTGCGTGCCTTATTCTGTGTAAGAAGCCACATCATCTCACAGAAGGATTTATTTCAAACACTCGACTGACGTTATGAAGTGAGTTTGGAGTAAAAATATTTTATTTAATGTTCTTTTCACATGCTTTCAGATGGAGCAGCATTTACTACACAGAGCCGTAGTTCACTGAGAAGCTATGCAAACAGCTGTCATTATCGCCAACGATTTCTTCGATTTCAGAATCGCGTATTTTTTTTGCGTAACTTGTCAGTGAACTACGGCTCTGTGTAGTAAATGCTGCTCCATCTGAAAGCATGTGATGATGATTTCCTGCTGATTACAGAACCGGCTTTACTAACAAAATGCGCATGACTATCGTGCAGCCCTAATATATAGTACTCTGAAGAATGCAGCCATGGTAATGTAAAAAAAAAACTAAACATGGTATTAATGTGTTACCATGTTATAAAAACACTATACTGCCATGGTACATTATATTACCATGGTAAAGTCCAAACAAACATTTTGTAAGAAGCCACATCGTCTCCCAGAAGGATTTATTTCAAACACTCGACTGACGTTATGAAGTGAGTTTGGAGTAAAAATATGTTATTAAATGTGGTATTTTCACGTGCTTTCAGATGGAGCAGCATTTACTACACAGAGCCGTAGTTCACTGACAAGTTACGCAAAAAAAATACGCGATTCTGAAATCGAAGAAATCGTTGGCGATAATGACAGCTGTTTGCATAGCTTCTCAGTGAACTACGGCTCTGTGTAGTAAATGCTGCTCCATCTGAAAGCACGTGATGATGATTTCCTGCTGATTACAGAACCGGCTTTACTAACAAAATGCGCATGACTATCGTGCAGCCCTAATATATAGTACTCTGAAGAATGCAGCCATGGTAATGTCAAAAAAAAACTAAACATGGTATTAATGTGTTACCATGTTATAAAAACACTATACTGCCATGGTACATTATATTACCATGGTAAAGTCCAAACAAACATTTTAAAAAAACATACTTTGGTGGTAAAGTTATGATGTCAGGTGGAATTCTGATATATATTGTGGTATTGAATGATTGCAACATTGATACTCCGTGGTATTAGATATTACTCCAAGGAATACAGTTAAATTACCATGATAATGTAACAGAAATATGATATTATTATGTTACCATGTTATAAAATCACTATACTATCATGTTACATTTCCAAAAAAAAACAATAGAGCCATAACTAAAATGCAAAATACATGGTGCTATAGTAACATGTCCAAAAACATTCAAGCATAAAACTTTTTTTTTTTTCCCTGGTAACTTATAAGTGAGTTTTTTTAAATTCTCTTAGAATTAAATCTCACATGTTGTTGTGCTGTCATTACTCAAGTGTTAGATCAGCATAGCTTGAATGTAATGCTTTTTTATTTCCATGTGTTTTTGTGCAAATCTGTGAAGCATTTGAAATGTTTTGTAGAATTGTGTTTGTCGACACTGATCCCTTATGACAGCAGGTTCTGTTGCTTAACTGGAAGACGATAGCATCGTGTAAACAAGAGTCATGGGTGCCAACAGTTTTGTGTTATTTATTAGCAACTAATAGGGCTGGTTGATAAGCAGCAAATATATCTGTTAAGAGTATCGTATCGCATTTATTTTTAATATATAATTTAATTTTATAGAGGGTGTGAAGCCATGCTTTCCAAATAGTTTTTATGAAATGAACACAAGAATGATATTATTTAATAATTGTGTTAATATGCACAGATTTAATATTAAACATCAGTGTTTGCTGCTGCTGTTTGCAAGTTATTTCATAGTGTGCATTAGCATGTGCGTTTTTGGCCTTCAGGCATGTCTGGTGTCCTTGAGTGGCAGCCGCATATGTGCATGTGCCGCTTAACATCTTAGCCCTCAAACGCTGTGCTGTGTGTAGATAGACATCAGACCCACCCTTTAATTGTGTGGGCCAGTTTGACAGTGTTAATCTGACTCCGCGTGCTGTGCGTTTGCGTTCAGGAGAGAGCTTAAATGCAGGGTTTGTGTGTGTACTCCCTGTATTTGTCAGCAGAAGTCTGTTTATGCATACTCTGTAATTTCACATTTTCTGAAAGGTCAAAAACAGCCAGACAGTCACTGAACCAGTTGTGCCAGACATCATAAAAAGATATGAATCACAGGAAGGGCGATAAAACGGTATCGATATTTATCGACGGTACACCTTCGATAACGATATAAAAAATGTTCGATGTAGTGCACAATAGGGCTGGGCAAAAAACCGAATGCTATTTTCATGCGAAGTAGATCACCGACAAGCTACCCAAAATCGCGATTCATTGCCGAATCTACGGCTCTGTGTAGTAAATGCCTCTCCATCTAAAAGCACGTGCTTGAGATTTACTACTAATCACCAGAAGCGGCTTTACTGACGAGATTCGCATGAAAATCGCATTTGATTTTTAGCCCGGCCCTAGCGCACGATATAGGCACGTGCTATGAGTGACGCAGACAGCACACACAAACACATGCTGAATTGAGTGCTGTGCCTGCCTGTGATGAGATTGTGAATAAAGAATGAATATTAGTCGAATTTAAAATAAACATTTGCAATGTTAGGTGTGCATCAGGGAGCGTCATCAGTGGCGCGCGAGATGCGGGGATAATGGTGTGTGACGTTGTTGCATTTTAATGTTTTGTTAGTCAAGCCCGCGAGATGCGCCGCTGCTGTGTTATGCATAGGCCTGTCACGATAACAACTTTTTGTTGTTTGATATATTGCCCCAGAAATAATTGCGATAAACGATATTATTGTCATATTAAAGACCATTTTACGCCACTGAATGTATAATCATAATGTAACAGCATAGTAATGCAAGAAGACCTACACACTTCCAAATGACAACAATCTTTTAATTTTTAAGAATATTTAGATCGTGGAAATTAAGTATCAAAATCTAAGATACCTTAAAAAACCTGAATAAATAGTAAATAAACATTTTCTAACAAAGTGCAAAGTAACAAGTAGAAAAAAAGAAAAATGCACGAAGAACTTGTGTGGAGATTTTTCCATCTACAGATTTTTCCCTGACCTTCTTTTCTCTGTAAATTAAGGGTGCACACTATTGCTGAGAAACACAATCACTACTCAGCAGTCAGATGTGCGTCAGATCCCTAAACAAAACCATATCTGCAGATGAAACTTTTTTTGTAGAAGCATTATTTAAATTTGAACTAGCACCTCATGACTACACCACGTTATGTACGAGATGCTGCAAAAGACACAGATGCAAGTGGAATGTACAAAACATGGTGACATTCATTTTTAAGTAAATATAATGGCCGATATATTGCGTCACCAAAAATGATTGAGGTCATGCGCGATAAGTCGATATATTGATTATTGCGACAGGCCTAGTTATGCATTCAAAATATTAGAGAAATATCGAAGCTCAATGCGAAGAAGATCTTGATTAGGTTAAAACCGAAAAAAAGCCATTCACACAGAACGCATATTCAGCGCATTTTGACGGACAAATATGACTGCTGCACAAGAGATGTAGCCATGCAAAGTTAAAACAGTTTAAACTTTTAGAAAACACGTCCTGAATTTGTGGAGGTTTATTCCTTTTCACTGCGTCTTATGTTTTTAAAGGCAATCTGCGTGATGGGCGATTCGGCTCTTTGTATTAAGCAATGCATAAATACACGATGCTGTTTTGTTCATAATTGTTTATGCAATTTACGAAATTATATTTGGTTTATATGAGTTAATTTAGACGTAATGCAGGTTTTTTTTATAGACGTTTATTTCCTTGTGTTGACAATTTAAACGTGCTGCATTATATTGCTCATTGCTCCCTCGGGAGACAAGCCAAAAATTTCCTTAAAACCTTTTTAATCTGCATATAAAACATTAGAAATTAGATATTTGTTTAATTGTTTGACTGTTAAAACAAAAAATATTTGTTGTTTGTCCCAACAAATTGGGTTAATTTAAAGTGGTTAAATAAATAAAAAAATTCTATTGCTCTGTTTTAAAAAAGGTTATAAAAAATGTCAGTAATTATCGATACCGAATGATATTAAACATTATATCGTTAATACATTTTTTAGCTATATCGGCGTTTTGACTAGATTTTGAAAGTTCTTTGTCGTCATTTACTCATCCTCATGATGCTCCAAACCCATATGCCTTGCAAATCCTCTCAGAACATGTTGTAAATTGTAATTGTAAGTAAGTTGTACAGACTACTTTTATAGTACTTTTTGTCATTTTCGGAGTACAATATGAAAAAAGAGCAGCGTTGAACATTCTTCAAAATATCTACTTTTCTGTTCCGCAGGAGAAATAAAGTAATGCAGGTTTGGAACAACATGAGGGCAAGTAAATGATGACATTTATGAATGTCAATTTTGGTTGAATTAGTCCAATAAGTCATTAAGTTCAGACTGTTTTTCTCTTGGAAAGAACCAAAAACTGTAATTTGTGTGTGTGCGTGCAGTTTTTCTTTTTTTTCTGTGACGTGAGACTTTGAAGGATTTTTGGTGCTTTTGTGGTTTTCAGCTTTGATAACAGATCCTCATATCACAGCGCCGTCAAACTATTTCTCAGTCCTTGCACGCAATATCCTGGATTGTTACTGTAGACCTGTGTGGAAACGGCAGAGGAAAAAAAGACAGGAAAGCCGTTTTAAAGAAAGAAAGATCAAAAATCTCATGTAGGTCAGGGCTAACCAGCTGCTCGAGTGAACTTTATAACCCCAAGGTAGCATTCCCAAGTCCAGCAACTCCCTCGTCACTGTGGAAACCGTTAATTGTGCTCTCTCTGTGTGTGTGTGTGTGTGTGTGTGTGTGTGTGTGTGTAGTTGGTTGGGATAGGGCATCTAAATTGATGTTAAAGTCATGCAAATGCAGAATGTCATGTGATCATCTGTAATGATCATGCTTGATATAAGATCTGTGATTTCCACATCTAGTGTTACTGTGAAAAAAATCGGAGAAATGTACGGTAAAAAAGGTTGCCTTAGCTTTACAGTGACAAATACAATCGCAACATTAAGTTTTACAGATGGAAATTAAATTTGCAGTAAAATTGTTTTTCATTACCTGAAACAATGATAATATAGCAAAGGACTAAAATCTGTTTTTACCTTTATAATATACTGACAACCTCCTTAAAAACACCAGTGGTACAGAGAAAGTCGAATCAAAGTTCATCACAAGTAGCTTCTCCTCAAGCTGAAGTAAATACTAATATATAGAAGGTGCACAGTGTCACAAATACAAAACACAATCATGTTAACACACATGATGCTAAAATAATGCAATAATTATTTATTTAACAACATAAGATGAAACCCAAAACCCTGATGTACGTCTCACTGATGTGAAAAACTAAGAAGAAAAATTATTATTTCAATGAAAAACCATCAAATGTGTCATTTGTCAAAATTGTCACACAGGGAATTCTGGGAGCGTCAGCTGTACATTAAGCAGTATTGTACTGTAAAATTACATGAAGTGTCTCATTAGTAATTATAGTTTTTCAGTGTATAACGTTAACCAGTTAACAGGTTTTCATGGAAGTCTTTTATCATTAAAATTACACTCATTTTTTGCAGCGTTGAGAATGCTGTCTTGGACAGGACGTTCTGTCTTGACTGTTCTCTGCCAGTTTCACTGGTTTTCATTTGATGTACCGTGAGTTTGAGTTGTTTTACAGATTTTTTTTTTGTGCTGCGTCACAATTGCTCTTTATTAAAGGGGGTCATATGACATTGCTAAAAAGAACATTATGTTGTGTATTTGGTGTAATGCAACGTGTTTATGTGGTTTAAGGTTCAAAAAACACATTATTTTCCACAACTGTACATTATTGTTTCAATAGAAACAATAATGTACAAAACCAATAAAACCCATTACAAACGAGGCATTTGTTGCATCCAGTGGGGACATCATTACTGATTATAATGACTTATACTGTGTTTTTACGTGTTGCGTTGCATTGCGTATCACGCTGCGTAAACATAAAACCATGTCTGCCTTTGTGATCGGAGAAACGACAAACAACAAGCGCTACTCTACACTGCTCAAACTCGCGTTTAAATCATCAGTGGCAAATTCTTTAAATATAAAAAATGTACTTACAGGCTGTGCGTCAGAAGCGCCAGACTGTCCTTGCAAAGTTGGAACTGCCCCACTTTGTAGAACAGCCTTTGAGCACAGACCCATTGTAGGCTACTCTGCAGGTTCAGGAAACAGTCCTCCATAAAATGTGTCACACAGCATCACACACTGCGGGCTTGAGTGAGCAAAGGCCAGGCTAGAATGAGGAACGGCTGGCAGACTTGAGAACGGCGTGGCCGGCGAATTCGGCGAAGGAGCGGCCGGCAGGCTCGCGGCAACCACATGTGACGACCCCGGGCTGAACTCCGCTTCGTCCATGGTGAAAGCCGATCTGGCGATCCATAGCGCGAAGTTGATGTATTTCCTCAGTGACCAGCATGGATCAGCTCTAGTCATGACAAAGCGGATATCGTCCTCTTTTGGAAGACCAACCAAAGTAGTTTCGCTTTCACAACCAAACACACAGCATCTCCACAACATGGCCACAGCGGCAACAACAATACTACTGCGAGAATAAAAGTTACGCCTTCTTTCTTTGCGTGAACATTTGGGCAGTGTTATGCAAATCTTCCCACACGGTGACGTAGATATGTGGGGGCGTGTTAGAACGAGGCGTTTTAAGAGGGCGTGGACAAGTCTTAACTTTTATAAAGAATAACTCTTTGGATTTGAGACTTTAGTCTTTGCAACTTTACAGATCTTCTTTATCCACCAAGAGCTTGTAACACTTCAAAGAGAAAGGACAAATTTTAATCGCATCATATGTAGGGCTGTCGCGATCACCGCAATATCGCAATACTGCGCTATTGATGAGCAAACCGCAGAGGAATGCAAGAACCGCAGCAACCGCGATTTTTTTCGTGTTTTATTTTTTCATAAGGTTATGCCCTTCTCGTTTTACACTTCATGCATGTGGACTGAATATTAAACAAGTTAGTAATGATAACATAATGTGTACATGTTGATTTGTACAGAAGCTCCGTAGATTTGCACTTAACAAGCCTAAACGGACAGTGAATGAGAGAGAGATCGACTGAGCGCGTGCGATTACTTGCGTCTGTCCACCAGGCCGAGTCATATATATTTGTGAAATTAGGTTGTCATGTCCAAGGAAAGTGAAATCTCTGTTTAAGCATCGATGCATAGCTGGTCAGCTGAGCCTTCTAAAGTGGCGCGCAAAGTTAAAATGATTTCAACAGCGTGTTTCATTAGGTCTCTTTGAATGAATGAATCAGCGTTTTTGAACGTGTAGTTGAATGACAGTCCCTTTCCTTCCCCTTGTGGCGCAACACTGTAACTGCACTGACTGACAGCCGTCTAGAAGGCGCGCAGGTAGAAATATCAATAGAAAGTCTCTTGTCCAGTCAGATAAGAAGATCAGATTACAACTAGGCTTACTGTTATACATATAGGCTAACGGAAAAACTTGTTGCATCTTTCCCCAAAAGACTCATGGCTGTATTAGATCAAAAGGGTGCTTCTACTAAATACTGAGCAAAGGGTCTGAATACTTAGGACCATGTGATATTTCAGTTTTTCTTTTTTAATAAATCTGCAAAAATGTCAACAATTCTGTGTTTTTCTGTCAATATGGGGTGCTGTGTGTACATTAATGAGGAAAAAAAATTTACTTAAATGATTTTAGCAAATGGCTGCAATATAACAAAGAGTGAAAAATTTAAGGGGGTCTGAATACTTTCCGTACCCACTGTATGTATATGTATGTGTGTATGTATATTTATGGCTGTAAAACCACATACCGCGCTATTGAGCCACTCAAAATTACCGCAAGGGAAATTCCCTCACCGCAACAGCCCTAATCATATGACCCCTTTAATTTAAAAAATAAAAACAATCTTACATAAAGTATTAAACCTTTGTGTGTAAGTCGTCTTTCAGCGTTTGTGCATGTGTTTGCTGTCTGTCTTTAACAGTGATCTGATCCCAGACTGCTCCAGAAGCCTGTAGCCACTTCAGTAACTGCTTTCTTGCTCTGTTTGTGTGTGTCAGTCTCGGATGCAGACAGCTCAGACGGCCTGCAGCTGAAGAAGGAGCATGCCTTAAGAGTCTTCACTTACATCAGCACATGGACACAGAGGTCAGCACTCATTAACTCTCTCAAACATTCGGTTACTCATTCATTCCTTAATTGGTTGGTTAATTTCTTCACTTCTCAATTGCTCATTTATTCAGTTGACTTCTCACTCAATCGCATGTTTATTCCTAACCTATAACTCAATGTTATTTGTTCATTCACTCACTGCAATCTTTCATAAATTCATTCACTCATTCATCGCTTGCAGATTCATTCACTGGTTCCCTTGTCCACTCACTCACTGTCTTTATTTAATAATTTATTCTCATTCACTGACTGACTCATTTATTCATAGTCATTCGCTCACTGATTCGCTCATTCATTCATTCTCATTCACTCACTGATTTGCTCACTGACTCGCTCATTCTCTTGTTCACTCACATACTCGTTCACTCACTGATTCATTTGCTGATTCATTCATTAATATGTTTTCTACTCCATCCTGCATCATGTTGTTTTCTTTGTCACCATGGCTGTTTTTCATGGATTAATTTATGATCTGTGTTGTTTGACCTGTTGTTTGGGAATTTATTGAAATACTGTTAAATTTGTTCAACAGAACTGAAATGTACTACAATCTCCTTGGTAGCTGAAAGCACAATTAAATTAGCCAAAATATTTCATAAACACATAAGAAGCTAGAACATTGCGAATGATGGGCTGATGGCCGATTCTCTCTGTGTTCATCTGCAGGCAGTGTCTGTGCTGTTTCAAGGAATACAAACACCTCGAGGTGTTCAGCCAACTGGTTTATGCCCTCATTAACTTGGTCATTGTTCAAGTAACCAACCTTAGGGACCGTCTACACAGTGGCAATGGCAACACTAGGACAGAGGGGGCGGAGTCCGAATGGGGCTCCGCCCAGCCACAGCCATCGCCCAGTGAGGACGAGCCGCTGAATGTGGAACGGGACTCGGCTGAAGAGGATGGTGGAGTGGAGGATGGAGATCAGCACAAGAACCAAAATGAGGGGGTCAAACCGGATCCCCAGCCCAAGCTCAGTGAACCCACGGCGGGCGAGAGCGGGAACGACAGCGGCCTGGACCCGTTTGCATCATGGAGCACAGAAGACCAGGAGAAACTGCTGCTGTGTGCTGCCAAGATCTTTCAGATCCAGTTCCCTTTGTACACAGCCTACAAACACAACACGCACCCCACTATAGAGGTAATTCATGCTCGTATAGGCAATAGTTTTCAACAGACTGTCTTCCAAGGTGTTTTTTTTTTTTTTTGTGGATTGGATTTTGAGATGTGGGTATTGCACTCAAGCTTGCACTCAGTTGTGGAGGGTTGAAGCAGACTAAATGCTTGGAGAAGTCACCATACGTCACCTAAATGTGTCCTTTTACTCATAGATTCAGATATAACATCTTACAAGGTCAAAAATAAAGTTAAAATGAAACGCATTCATGGATTAATAGTTCACGCATTTACGAAATAGAGTGAATTTTCTTTTCATGCATAAAAATTGTTCCTTTTTTGATGCTCTTTCTGTAGATGTTACTGAATTTCTGTGTGCAGTTATAGTCAGGTTAATGCGTAGTCAGACTGACCGATAAAGACCGTTGCTCAAGTGTACACGACACAGTGCGTAATCGAATATTTGATAGACTAAATACACATCACGCATCATTTTTGTCTTTCATAGCAAGCTCACAACGTCAAGGCCAATTGTAATGCAATTATGCATATATGTGCCAAACGAAGCTGAGCTACAGTCGTATAGACTCAACATTTTAAAAAAGACAAATCACCTAAATCAAACTTTTCAAGTGCATGTAAAATCCATTAGAGTGGTTTTCCTGATCAGTCATTGTTGTCAGTACTGAGTACTTGTGTGTGTTTCTAGTTTATCTGTATATCTGTTTATCTAGTATATCTTTTGCACAATATAAGCATTATATATTCTTCCAGTTAGTGCTTTATTAATGCTAAATGATTTGGATGAGCTGAATAACCAGAGCAAATTCTCAAGACAAAAATAGAAGCTGGTTTCTGTTGAAAAGTTGAGTATGGTTTTATTTGGGTTGCTTTTTAATATCCGTTTGTTGTTTTTGTCCTCAGGATATCTCCGCACAAGAGAGCAATATCCTCGGCTCTTTCTGTGATATGAATGTAAGTCTCTCTCTCGCGCGCACACACACACACACACACACACACACTCATTATGATGGGCTTGATTACACCGTTTAGAGATAATTCATAACCACAATAGATGCTGAGTGGATGGAGCAGGACTAGATTTAACTGACTCTGAGATCACAGCTAGGTGTGTCCTGTGTGAGAAAGTAACATAACTTTTAATATTTAATAAATGCATATTTTTGCACACAACATATAGCATACATGACACAGACTATATTATATTGTTGTGATGATTATTATATTATTACAACAGCTTAATATATTACTTTATAAGGCTATTTTTCTGGTAATTATATGACAAATATCTGTTTATATTTTGTCAATCTTTGTTATGATTTTAATAAGTACTAGGTCATGGATGGTTTTCATACCTCATGTTTACTATATATAATGTTTTATAGATCTATAATATGTTAGTTTTGTAATGTAATCTTATATTCATATTATATTGTTGTGATGATTATATACAACAATTCAAACATGTTTTATAAGTATATTATTGTGATAATTATATTATCATATTATTTTATTATTATTAATAAAATAGGCATTGGAATCTCACTCATGATTGGCTGGAGAGAGATCTTCTGAAGTTTATTTTGATTAAACTCATTTTAAAGTTTGTTTCTGTCCTATAAAAGCATCCAGCGCTGAGTCATGTGACCACACAATAATGCTGTTGCGATAAAGGCAGTGTTTTCTTTGGGCGTAATTTAGGAAAATTATTTGGGTGTGTTTTAAGTGATTGTATTGCATGCTAATGGGCTGAGTCCTATAAAAGCATCCAGCGCTGAGTCATGTGACCACACAATAATGCTGTTGCGATAAAGGCAGTGTTTTCTTTGGGCATAATTTAGGAAAATGATTTTGGGTGTGTTTTAAGTGATTGTATTGCATGCTAATGGGCTGATGTGTGTGTGTGTGTGTGTGTGTGTTTCAGGATGTGGAGGTCCCTCTGCACCTGCTGCGATATGTGTGTATGTTCTGCGGGAAGCACGGCCTCTCTCTGATGAAGGACTGCTTTGAATTCGGCGCTCCTGATACTCTCCCCTTCCCCATCGCACATGCCTTCATCACCATCGTCTCTAACGTGAGTCCACACAGTCAAACAAACCTCAGTCAAACCAGAGTCTGGCTTGTTAGATCTGTAACCAATCAGAGGTTTTTTTTGGTGTGTGTGTACAGATCAGAATATGGTTGCACATTCCCGCTGTGATGCAGCACATCATCCCGTTTCGTGCTTATGTTATCAGGTAAGAACTCCTTTCTAAACTAGACCTAAAGGTTCAAAATCATGAATTGCCAAGTGCAAGTGCGCAGGAATATCGGTTTCATTGAATCGATCCTAACTGATTGACTGAGAGATATAAACGAGACGCAGGCTACTCTTAGAAAGAGCTCTGCCGCCAAGAATCTGCTCTCTGCTGAGTTGCTAGGAAGAGCATCCCTCACCATAGCAACGGTCGTCATGGCTCTCCTCACATGACCTTGGGGGGAGCCAGACGGCTGGCAGGGGAGCTGAGAGAGTACTAGTCATGTGACTCGAGCCAGACAGGATTAGAGCAGCACACAGAGACTCACAGAGAGAGAGGGTATTCGTTTATTCACACGGAAAGGTTTTCAGAGATTTTTGCTGATTTTCTTTTGTATTATATTATATTTCATTATATTGTAAACATATATCCCACCTCAAATTGACTATTATAATAAAATACTATGTTATATATATTTTTATATATATATATATATATATATATATATATATATATATATACATAATCTGTCGAACATATGAATATTTATCCACATAGAAAAATAATACAACTTATAAATGACTTTTGTTATATTGTATTATGTTTTGTAACATTGTTATATTATATACAAATCCACATATCATATTAATGTTAATCTAGAATCAGAATTACTTGTTATGCAAATCTGCATATGTATATCATTTATTAAGCATTATATAATAAAGATATATTATTTTTTTATTAATGTTTTAATAATGTTATGTTTTCTTACCTTTAAAAAAGGAAAACTTGCAACAAACTAGAAATCATACTGCTAATATGTAACACACTATACAATATACAGCTTAACTGTAACCCTGTAAATTCAAACACACTTTTGTTAGAAAAAAATGATGACATATGATGCAAAATAGTTTAGTAAATGTAAACGTAATGATTAAGCTACTGAAACGCTCTTTTACACTTTTACTAGCTTTTGTATGTTAACCGCTTTTCATGGGCCTGATATATCCTTTATAAATACAAAAGGAGTTTTTGATACAGGTCCTTAAATGAATGTTTCAGGTTTAATACAAGTTAATTAGAAGTTGGTTAGAAAATATTTTCAACTAGTCCCTCAGTTTGGAAAAAAAATAATAAAAATCTGACTGTTTTTCTAGGCAGATGAATATTTGTGCTCAATTGCTTTTATGCGACTCATCTGAATCATCTGGTTTAATATGAATCTCCCTCTGTCTCTAGGTATCTGTGTAAGTTGTCGGATCAGGAGCTGCGTCAGAGCGCGGCGCGTAACATGGCCGATCTGATGTGGAGCACGGTGAAGGAGCCGCTGGACAGCGCACTGTGTTTTGACAGAGAGAGCTTGGATCTGGCCTTCAAATACTTCATGAGTCCAACGCTCACCATGAGACTGGCCGGCCTGAGCCAGATCACGGTACGAGAGACACAAAAACACAAAAACTCTCTGCCATCATCTCCAGCCGGTGTTGAATGATCTGTGCTTGTGTTTCTGTAGAATCAGCTGCACACCTTCAATGACGTTTGTAATAACGAGTCCCTGGTGTCTGACACTGAGACGTGAGTGCTACGAGTCCACTGCTATTAGTAGTTCAGTCCAGCTAGACGTGTATTGACATCTTTCTTTCCTCTCTCAGGTCGATAGCAAAGGAACTCGCTGACTGGCTCATCAACAACAATGTTGTTGAGCACATATTTGGACCAAATTTGCACATTGAGGTGAGTCCAGTAGACTTTCATAGATACAGAAACTAGCGCAGGTACGTTTCAAAAGTGTGCAGGTGATGTTTCGTTCTGTCCAAGCGCTGACTAAAGGTGTATTATTTCTGATTGTGCTTGTGTTGTTTGTGCTGTAGATCATTAAACAGTGCCAAGTGATCCTGAACTTCCTTGCAGCCGAGGGCAGGCTGAGCACTCAACATGTGGACTGCATATGGGCCGCCGCTCAGGTACACACACACACTATTTAGACCACACCATTTGATATATTGTGCACATTTTCTGCATAGAATACATTTGTAAAAATGTGCAGTAATGTGCACTATTAGAGCACAATGTAAGTAACACTTTATCCTACAATGCAGTGGGATAGTTTTAGTTAACAATAACAACACCTGCATTGTACGCAATTAGAAACATTTTGATTCACATATGAAATAAAAATGGTTATTTTGCTTTTTATACAATTTAGTGTTTAAGTCATTTACTATTGTTTCAAAATTACATTTATGTGTGTGTGTGTGTGTGTGTGTGTGTGTGTGTGTATATATATATATATATATAATTGACTCCTAAAAGGACTTTTTAAAAAGCAAATATGCAACAACAAAAAATTATTTCTGATATAATAACTAAATCTATATAATAGATTATATTTATAATAACTTCAAAATCTTTCTCATTGCATACAATGTAACGGTGTTAACCGAAACAATTAAAAATGTTTTTTGTTAATTGGAAGTAAAGCTGAAATAAAATGTCAAATAAAACAATATATAAATATAAAATATAACTATTAAAAATATATAACTTTTGGACATAAAAAAAAAATGCTGCCTTGCCAACTTACTGAAATGGGGAAAAAAAAGAAAATTACAGAATATAATTATTACTGAATATAAACCTGAAATAAAATAAATAAATGAAAGCTGAATAGAAATACTTTTAAAACTAAACTAATTAAAATGACAGAAGCACGTAACAGTACTACAGCTTAAACTAAAATATCATGAAAACCAAAAATATAAAAATAAAAGCTCATTTAAAATATGAATAAATACTATAATAGTGTTATATAAATAAATCTAAAACAACGCTGCATGCTATGTACTGCATCAGAAACTAATTTTTAAATTTAGTAATTTTCTTTCCACTCTGTCTTTAGCTGAAACACTGCAGTCGCTACATCCATGACCTGTTCCCCTCGCTCATAAAGAACCTGGACCCTGTTCCTCTGCGGCACGTGCTCAGTCTGGTGTCAGGGTTACACCCCAGCGCACACACCGAACAGGTAACACACGTTCTCAGACCACATCCACACATAAGAGTTACACACAGCCAGTTTAGTCATATACAAAACTAGATGCCTGCTCTCACTAACATACTTTGAAACAGACTAAAACTTACCTGGCTATCCAGTATGTGGTTGTTGAGTTGTTTCTCTGCTTGTGTAGACACTGTATTTGGCGTCCATGTTGATCAAGGCCTTGTGGAATAACGCTCTGGCAGCCAAAACTCAGCTGTCCAAACAGAGCTCTTTCGCCTCCCTGCTCAACACCAACATTCCCATGGGCAACAAGAAAGGTGTGTTGTGTTTGACATCTGCTTTTTGATGTGCTTGCCAAAGATTTAAAATCGAGATTTCTCAGTTAGAAGTTGGTGTAGATGTATGCTTTTTTTAATGTATTCTGTATTAGAATTATTGTATTAAATTTAGGTCAGAATCCAGGAAAAGTAAAAAATGGCAATTAAAGTCAACATGAAATGGAGTGCACAAATTATTTTACTACTAAAATGTGAAATATTTCTAAGTGCAATTGAGAGTTTTTGTTGAAAGATTTAATTTATGTACTCAGGATCTCAATGTAGCATCTTTTTGGTTATATTTTATATTTTATTTTTCCCCCAGGTTCTCCTGCAGGAAGCCCAGAGAGCAGTGACAACAGCGACACGCATCACAGTGGAGGAAGTGACATGGAGATGGACGAGCCGATCATGAGCAGTGGAAAACGAGGGCAGCAGAGGCTGTCGGACACGGAGGTGACACATTTTCCAAAAGATGATTTGAAATCATGTCATTCAGCTTCAGCTAATTAGGTGTTTTTTGCCGTTCCACAGGAGTCTCTGCAGGGCAGCTCTGATGAGACGGCCAACAGCGGCGAGGAGGGCAGCAGCAGCGGCCGCAGCGAGGCGTCCAGCAATGAGGCTGGATCCAGCCGAGCCAGCCAATCAGCAGGCAGCCCGGGCAGCGAGCTGCACTCCGACGACATGGCTGACAGCGAGGCCTTGAAGGAGGAGGAAGAGGAGGAGGAAGAAGAAGAGGACGATGACGAGGATGACGAAGACGACGATGAGGATGACGAAGACGACAGGCCCGTTGTCGCCTCCGAGGGCAGCCCTCAGAAAGAAACCAGAGACTCCAGAGAGCCGTCTACGTCAGAGCTGCGTAAACGCAAAGCCGGCGAAGCACTCGGAGAGGTCCAAGGTCCTCCGGAGCGACCCGGAATTCCGCCCGGTGTTCCCGGCTCCATCGCCTCCGCTCCCGGACTTTCCAAAACCAAATCCATTCCCTTCACCCCAGAGGCAGCCGCTGCCATGGTAGCCTCGTCTTCTTCCCTTAGGATCCTCGAGCCTTGCTCTTCTTCATCTGTGTGCCTGGAGGGAACGTCAGGAGAGCAGGCTGATTCCCAATCCCAGAACCCCCAGCAACCACAGCAGGGTGGCACAGAGATGGGCTCCTCACACGGAGCGTCTGTTTCCCAGGAGCCGCCCTGCATGCCTCGACCAGCGGACTTCCTGACGGAGGCTATGGGCAATGAGCTCTTCAACTGCAGGCGTTTCATCGGCCCTCAGCATCACCACCATCATCATCACCACCATCATCATCACCACCACCATGATGGGTGAGTGGTTTTTAATGTGACTTTGTGTTTTAATGTTAACTCTGTTCCAAAACCTAGTGAGCTCCCTAGCGGTCTACATAGGCAGCATCCTAACTTCAATGGAACATCATAAGTGTGTTTTGGGATTGCCTATTCCAAGAAGGTGTTTTAAAAGGTTGCTTTGATGCCTTAAAGTGTTGTCTAGGTAGACAGCTCACTAGGTTTTAATGCAGAGCCGTTGTGTCTTCTGGTAACAGACTCTCAACACAGACTTTCACTCTCCACAGTCACATGGTAGAGGACATGCTGAGCGCTGATGACGTGAGCTGCAGCAGTTCTCAAGTCAGTGCCAAATCCGAGAAGAACATGGCGGATTTTGATGGAGAGGAGTCTGGCTGTGAGGAGGAGCTGGTCCAGATCAACTCGCACGCAGAGCTCAGCTCGCACCTGCAGCAACACCTGCCTAACCTGGCCTCCATATACCATGAACATCTGGTGCAAGGTACATACACCTCCAAAGACTGCCGCCACAGTGTTAGGATGTTCTGGGTGTGTTCTAGGGCGTTGCTCAGTTGTAATTAGGGTATTCTGTGTGATTTCTAGGGCATTGCTAGGTTTTTAAGGTGTTCTAAGTGGTTGCTAGGCATAGAACATGATTTCTGCATGAGTCCCATCGGATTGCATCGGCTGTGGGGATGAAGACGACAACTCCCATGATTCCACACTCAGTCACTGCGTCATCAAACTACGCCTTTGTTTGTTTTGAATACGCGCCCTCTAGTGGCAAAAAATTACATATTGTGCCTTTAATGCGTGAACTTTATATTATTTGTAGCGCACTTGACGTCTAATAATCTCAAAAAGCTTTGTGCTCTGTTGCCTTTTAATAAACAAAGGATCAGCTTTAAAATTCTGCCAAATTCATAATGAAAGTCAAACAATAAATTGTTAAATAAAAAGTCAAACAAAAAGCCATTTTGGTGCTCTTTAATGCGGCATGAGTGATCGCTTTAGCGCCTCAGTTCAAGCGGCACGTGAACCCATCATTTCTTTCTCTTTACTACTATAGTATGAAATAAACATGAATGAACATCAACAGGTATATTATAAGAGAGCCTACAGTACATCTTACTGAAATGTCTCATGTAATCGCTCATTCAGTGTTTCAAACTGCGGAAAATGTGTAAAGCTTGTAAACAATGCCACGTAACAATACATTTACCACAGAATACCCATTCGGCGTCCATAAGCTCATTAGTCAGCTAAAAAAAATAACTATAAAGAGGAGCATTTTGCCAAATTTATGCGCTATATTGCATATTCCTATTTTTACTTAACCTGTTGTCCACTTGATAAGAAAGAATGCAAGGAGCTAAAGGTAAAATTCAACACCTATATAATTGCATGTTACTAATGAAGAAAAACAGACTGGATGTGTGCAGGACATATGACAGCATTTATGGGATGCATTGAGGAGGAGCTCAAACTACACTCAAGGGTCAAGTGATGCTGATATAATTATGGTCTGTGATTATTGGCACAGATTCTGTGTAATAATCTATTCTTTGTGACTGTATATAGTTCTCAAGTTGGAAAAGAAGTTTAGTTAGTGAACCTTAGTTCCCAGGACATCTACAAGATGGATTAAAATGCTGATAAAGACAAGACAAGATGAAACATAAACTTCAAGTATGACTGAAATGTTAAAGTGTTAAAAAATATATAAAACACATTTATTCTGTGGCACTTAAAAAAATTATCTGATGCCTAATTTTGTTTCTTATTGGAGCCAATGGTGCCTTTATATATTTATTTATTATTATTTTTTGTCTGGAGCCCTGTGTTCTGAGTGGTTTCTAGGGTGTTGCTAGGTTTGTAAGGTATTCTAAGTGGTTGCTATAGTGTTGCTCTGTGGTAATTGGGTTTTGGATAGTTGCTGGATTTCTGAGGTGTTGCCCTGTGGTTATTAGGGTGTTTTGATGGTTTCAAGGGTCTTCTGAGTGGTTGCGATGATGATGTTCTTGATTCTACAGTCCATTTTACCTAAACTTACTCGAATCTGATTTCAAACAGAAGTCACACGATAGTTTGTCTGATGTTTTTCTAAATGTCTGCTCCAGGTCCGGCGGTGCACAAACATCAGTACTCTGTGCACACGGTGACCGACATCAACCTGGACAACGTCTGCAAGAAAGGCAACACCCTTCTTTGGGACCTGGTCCAGGATGACAATGCGGTATGTTTACCTCACAACAGACTATTCGAAGTATTTAACATTTAGAGTCAGTGATGTGATTCTCGTGTTGTCTCGGTGACTAGATCCACCTATCAGAAGGCTTGATTAATGAGGCAGAGAAGCTGTTGTGCTCTCTGGTCTGCTGGTTCACTGACCGTCAGATCCGCATGCGTTTCATCGAGGGCTGTCTGGAGAACCTCGCCAACCACCGGTGAGACCATCACAGATATATGAAGTGCTGTATGAAACTGCTGAAGAGGTTTGGGTTTCTCCAGTAGGAGATATTTGATTGTTTTGTTTCTGCTTGTGTTCATCAGGTCAGTGGTGGTGTCTTTGCGTTTGCTGCCGAAGCTCTTCGGGACCTTCCAGCAGTTCGGCTCTAGCTACGACACTCACTGGATAACCATGTAAGAAAAACTCTGCCCATCACTGCTATCCATGTTGTCATTACTTGAAACTTAGACCACTTTATGGGTGATTCTGAGAGTTCTTCCTGTGCTACAGGTGGGCGGAAAAGGAACTGCACATGATGAAGCTCTTTTTTGATGATCTGTTACACTATATCCAGGAAGTGAGAGAGCAGCACCACAAATTTGCTCTGTAAGTTTAGTGTCTCTATTTCTATATTACTCTTCAAAATTTGGGGTCGGTAGGATTTTTTTCAATGTTTTTGAAACATTATGCAAAAACATAGTAAAAACTACAATATTGTAAAATATTATTACAATTTAAAACAACTGTTTTCTATTTCAATATATAATAATATGTAATTTATTGCTGAATTTTCAGCATCATTACTCCATTCTTCAGTGTCACATGATCCTTCAGAAATCACTCTAATATGCTGATTTGCTGCTCAAGAAACATTTCTTCTTATAATTATTATCAGTACTGAAATCAGTTCAGAAATCAGAAATTTCCATTTTTTTCAGGATTCTTTGATGAATGGAAAGTTCTAATATTTGTAACCTGTCAAAAATGTCTTCCCTGTCATGTCAATGTATTAATTTCTTTTTGTTTTTTTTTACAATTTTTTGTCTGAATTTTGCATATGAAGTGCAGTGTTAACATCCTGTGTGTCTCAGGTACAGTCACAGTGCAGAGGTGCAGGTGCGTCTGCAGTTCCTCACCTGTGTGTTCTCAACGCTCGGATCACCTGACCACTTCAGTGAGCGTCTTTATCTTTCACACGTCGCTGCATATGAGAATTGCCCCATATGTAACTATACGAATATCCCGTGTGTGTGTGTCAGGGTTGAGTCTGGAGCAGGTGGACATCCTGTGGCACTGTTTAGTGGAGGACTCCGAGTGTTACGACGACGCCCTGCACTGGTTCCTAAACCAGGTCCGCAGTAAAGACCAGCACGCCATGGGCATGGAGACATACAAACACCTCTTCCTGGAGAAGGTCTGGCCACCGTATCGTTGAAACACATCTTTTATGCAGTGCGTGCCATGAGAATTAACCTTTCATCAGGTGGTTCTCTCTCTCTTTCTCAGATGCCTCAGCTGAAGCCGGAGACGATCAGCATGACGGGACTCAATTTGTTTCAGCATCTGTGCAATCTGGCTCGTCTGGCCACCAGCGCCTACGACAGCAGCTCCAACTGCGAGGTTCACAGCAGCGGATCTCAAAATCTCTGCGGTTTCTCTCGATGTGTTTTCCCTGACCGTTCTCTCTGTCTTTCTGTAGTTGTGTGGTATGGATCAGCTGTGGGGAATCGCGTTGAGGGCTCAGTCTGCAGACATCAGCCGCGCTGCCATCCAGTACATCAACTCCTATTACATCAGCGGTCAGTAAACACCAAACACTTACATATGTTGTATCATTCATAACCATTGAACATTTACATTTTGATAACCCCTCAGTTTCAGTCGTCAAGTCACCTTTATTTTTATAGCACTTTATGCAGTAGAGATTGTTTAAAGACAGTTTCACAGTATTAAACGCAAAGTAACAGAATCAGATTCAAACTTCAAAAATGAGGCAAATCCAAATTCTGCTCTAAATCAACTGTGACTGATTAATGTGTCATTATGCACTTCAGATTAGTTCAGCGTTGGTTCAGTTCAGTAACTGTGTAAAGTTCATTCATTATGAAACAAGTTCAATTCAGTGATAAGCAAACTAGTGTTCAGTTATTCAGCTGATGTCAGATCAGTGTTGATTAGATGAAGGAAGAAGCTTTTTTTTTAGCTTTTAATGCTACCTATGCGACATTTTTTAAAGTACTTCAATACTTTCTTGGTAAAGCAAACTAGTGTTCAGTTATTCAGCTGATGTCAGATCAGTGTTGATTAGATGAAGGAAGAAGCTTTTTTTTTTAGCTTTTAATGCTACCTATGCGACATTTTTTAAAGTACTTCAATACTTTCTTGGTAAAACTTTTAAAAAAACATTTAAAGTACTTTAAATGTTTTTTTTTTAAGTTTTACCAAGAACGTATTGATTTCGATTTTTTTTGTTATGTTGTAAAAGGGTTATTATTGTTAACTATAAAAATATTTTAAAATATTTGTTAATTGAAATATAGCAGAAATAAAATGTAAATGTTAGATGGAAAAAAATTGAAAGTAAACAAATATTAGAAATGTTGCCTGGAAGTTAATAACTACTAAGCTGAAAGAAGAATAAATTAAGCCTAAATAGTCATATTAAAAAAAATAATAATAATAAACTAAGATTAAAACAAAAAATATATTTATTACATGTATTAAAAAATTAATAAATACTATGATAGTATATAAATAATGCTGAAATAACTGGTAAGAAACTTAATGTCTCTTTTAGTTTAAACTACTAAGATAGATAGATAGATAGAACGATGGATAGAACAACGGATAGATGGATATATAGATAGATAGATAATGAAAGAGTGAATAAATAAACAAATAAATAAGTAAATGAGGGTTGAGTTTTGGTTTTGATGAACTGACAAATCCTTCAAATGGCAGGTGTTTTTACATCATTTGATTACACTGATTAAATCTGCAGTTTGTCCCATTGGAGTGTGATGGCTGTGTTTTTTGTTTTGTATTATGAATATAAGTAAGTGTGCAATGCGATGTATTTATTAGTCTGTGTGACCGCAGGTAAAACGGGTCTGGAGAAGGAGCAGGAGTTCATCAGTAAGTGTATGGAGAGCTTGATGATGGCGTCTGCTAACCTGGAGAAAGACGCCCACTCCAGCCTGACCATCATAGAGAGAGGACTGCTGCTGCTCAAAACACACCTGGAGGCCTTCAGACGCAGGTACACACAAAAACCATGTTTACACGAGAAGTGGCATTTCTCCTTTTTTTTTTTATATATATATTAGAATGTAAACGGATGCTGAATTGAATGTGTGTGTTCAGGTTTGCGTATCACCTGCGGCAGTGGCAGATTGAGGGCACGGGCATCAGCAGTCATCTGAAAGCTCTCAGTGATAAACAGTCTCTCCCGCTCAGGATCGTGTGTCAGCCAGCAGGACTGCCTGACAAGGTGCGCCTTCATCATCATCATCATCTTCCTCATCGCTAGTGTCTGCTCAGACATCACGCTGAGTTTAATAAAGCTTTCTGTGTCTGTGCAGATGACCATCGAGATGTACCCCAGCGATCAGGTGGCTGATCTGAGGGCAGAGGTCACGCACTGGTATGAGAATCTTCAGAAGGATCAGCTCAGCCAGCAGGCACAGCTGCAGGAGTTCGGTCAAACCAGCCGCCAGCAGGACTTCCCAGGTACATGCACAGAAAACAGACGACTGTGACTCTATCGCATCTGAACCACAAATAGAACATCCACAGACTCTGACTGTCTGATGTATATAGCACACACAAGCCCATAAGCAAAAAAACTGAAAGCTCTCAGTGATAAACAGTCTCTCCCGCTCAGGATCGTGTGTCAGCCAGCAGGACTGCCTGACAAGGTGCGCCTTCGTCATCATCATCATCTTCCTCATCGCTAGTGTCTGCTCAGACATCACTCTGAGTTTAATAAAGCTTTCTGTGTCTGTGCAGATGACCATCGAGATGTACCCCAGTATTTTTTTTTAATACTCAAAAGTCTTTCTATTTCAAAATTGCACATTTAATTATTATTATTTAAAATGTACCTTTGCTAGCTCAAAGTGAAAATTCTTTCTGCATATGTATCTGCATAAACAAATAGTTGTTCGTTTTTTGGGGGCAAAAAAACTGATACATATGTATATTAGGGAAGCACCGAAACGGAAAATTCTGGATGCACTTGGCTGAAACCGAAACCGAAACCGAAAATGCTTTGTAATAATTATTTATTATTTTATTAAATAATATAAAGTAATTTTCAAGACTTTAATTTTACTCCGTAAAACAAAAACTGAATAAAAAAAACACAAGCCAATAAAATAACTACACTTTTATTTAAAGTAACACAAAGTTGGACAGAACATATATTGGTATTAAAGGGATAGTTCACCCAAAAATGAAAATTAGCCCATGATTTATTCACCCTCAGGGTATCCTAGGCGTATTTTGACATTCCTCCTTCAGATGAACACAATCGCAGTTATATTTAAAAATGTCCTGGCTCTTCCAAGCTGTCAGTGAGTGGTGCCCCTGTTTTTGAATCCTAAAAAAGTGCATCCATCCATCATAAAACTACTAAAACGCACATTCATAGAGCAGAATATTGAGAGGAGCGTCACACTACACAGTGACGACGGCTAGAGGGAGAGAGAAACCTGTGTGCTGAACACTGCTGGACAACCGAAAACCAAAAATGCCATTTTCGGCTGCTGACATATCGGTGCTTCTCTAATATAAATATATATATATTTGCCATGCACTGCATGAAATTTGTGTTCATTGTGACTTTAGGGATCTGACGGTTTGTGCTGGAAGGATCTGTTGAGGATCAAGAGCCCTCATAAGCTGCTCTACGCTTTAGAAATCATAGAGGCCCTCGGCAAACCCAACCGCAGGATTCACCGCGAGTCTACGGTACACATCCAGAATCACACTCAGATCATCATCTTCACACGTGCAGATGTTCTTTCTCTTGAAACATGTGTGTATTTGTGTTTCAGGGCAGTTACAGTGATCTGTATCCAGACTCTGACGACTCCAGTGAGGAACAGATCGAGAACAGCAAGAACACTTGGAGCTGTAAGGTACAAACGCCTCCTCTCACGCTTCCATCTGTTGCTATTGTTCACTGACTTATGGACTAGGTAACTGCACTCATTGGAACACCTAATCTATGGGTTTTAGTAAAACTATTATGCGATTTGTAGTTGTTAACATGTATGTTCCAGTCCGTGTGCTCTGCGTAGTGTGTATTTGAACTGAATGACAGTCTGCACCTGTCTCTCTCTCCTGTAGTTTGTGTCGTCTGGAGGTCTTCAGCTTCTGCTGGACATTTTTAACTCTGCAATTTTAGAGCCGAAAGAGCAAGAATCCTGGACTGTGGTGAGTGTCAAGAACAAGCCGTGTCGTGTAACGTTTGCAAGTTTTTTTTTTTCGTTTTTTTTTTCCTTCTTCTTTTGACTTTGAAGTGAAATAAGTCCAGGGCTCTTTCTTTTCCGCGGCTGTGGATATCATGTGTCTTCTCTTCTCTCGCTCTAGTGGTTGTTGGACTGTCTCGCGTGTCTGCTGAAGCTCATTTGTCAGTTTGCGGTGGATCCGGCCGATCTGGACCTGGCCTATCATGACGTTTTTGCCTGGTCTGGTCTCACGGACACACAGAGGAAGAGGGCGTGGCCAGGGAAGTCCCGCAAAACTGCCGGGGATCATGGGAAGGGCCTGCATATACCTCGTCTCACAGAGGTGTGAAACTGCTTCTAAATTGATTTTTCTGTGTATGCGAGCTTTTTCTAATTTTGGCATTGTCTTCTCTGTCAGGTTTTTCTAAGTCTTGTTCAAGGCACCAACCTCATCCAGCGGCTCATCAACGTGGCCTACACATACGACAATCTGGCACACAGGTGAATAGCATGCGCATACACAAGATCCTCACCCGTGAGGACTCCTTTTCATTTCTTTTTTTATTTACTTACCGGTTTTGTTTTTTACCTTCTGTATTGTGATTATCCTGCAGGGTTTTAAAGGCTCAATCAGATCACAGATCCAGACACGAGGGTAAGCACATCATTGGTTATTTATATGTGACCCTGGACCACAAAACCAATCATAAGGGTCAATTTTTCGATTTATACAACTATTTGAAAATCTGGAATCTGAGGATGCAAAAAAATCTAAATATTGAGAAAATCGCCTTTAAAGTTGTCCAAATGAAGTTCTTAGCAATGCGTATTACTAATCAAAAATTAAATTTTGATATATTTACAGTAGGAAATTTACAAAATATCTTCATGGAACATGATCTTTACTAAATATCCTATAATTCCTATAATCCCTAAATCTATAATTTTGACCCACACAATGTATTTTGGGCTATTGCTACAAATATACCCCATCTTTTTTTATTTACTTACCGGTTTTGTTTTTTACCTTCTGTATTGTGATTATCCTGCAGGGTTTTAAAGGCTCAATCAGATCACAGATCCAGACACGAGGGTAAGCACATCATTGGTTATTTATATGTGACCCTGGACCACAAAACCAATCATAAGGGTCAATTTTTCGATTTATACAACTATTTGAAAATCTGGAATCTGAGGATGCAAAAAAATCTAAATATTGAGAAAATCGCCTTTAAAGTTGTCCAAATGAAGTTCTTAGCAATGCGTATTACTAATCAAAAATTAAATTTTGATATATTTACAGTAGGAAATTTACAAAATATCTTCATGGAACATGATCTTTACTAAATATCCTATAATTCCTATAATCCCTAAATCTATAATTTTGACCCACACAATGTATTTTGGGCTATTGCTACAAATATACCCCAGCGACTTAACACTGCTTTTGTGCTCCAGGGTCACATATATATGTGAGGGTTTTGACTTTTCTCTCATTACTGGTGACGTTTCATTAATATTTATTAATAATGTTTACGCAGTGACTCATTTCTCCATGTGGCTGCTGGTGAGCTGGGCTCACTGCTGTTCTCTGGTGAAATCCAGCCTGGCTGATAGTGAACATCTGCATGACTGGCTAAAGAAGCTCACGCTGCTCATACCTGAGGTAAACGAAAGAATGTCATGATTTTATCCATCTCTGAAATTAATTCTACTGATCAAATTGAGGTTACCTGAGCGGGGAACAATTATATCCCCCAATCAAACCATAGCTATTAAAACCAGTCAAAAAAAACAAGCTCTGAGCTACTTTGCACAAAATATTTATGTGATATATATTGAATATTCTAGGTTAAATGTTTTGTGAATGCCATTTATTTATTTTTTAAAAGTTACATTTATGCATTTGGCAGACAGTTTATCGAAAGTCACTTACATTGCATTCAGGGTATACATTTATCATGAGTTGTGTTCCCTGGGAATCAAACGCATGACCTTGACATTGCTGTCACCACGCTCTGCTGTTTGAGCTGCAGGAATGCCGTTTTGGGTTGTATTTTTATAGTTTGTATTGTCGTATTGTATCTGCAGACGGCGGTGCGTCAGGAGGCGTGCAGTGGTCTGTATAAGCTGTCTCTGTCCGGTCTGGAGGGAGGAGAATCCATCAATAGATCCTTCCTGCTGCTCGCCGCGTCCACACTGCTCAAGTTCCTGCCAGACGCACAAGCGCTTAAACCCCTGAGAGTAAGTACAAACACTGACAATGTCTATGTGCTCATGTTAGTTTAGTATTATTTATATACTATATAATTTGCTTTCATTTTAGTTTTTGATAATGTTATAATGTGCTTTTGTCATTTTATTTAATATTTCTAAATAGTAGATTTAAATTAGAATGAATTTTTTTTACTTCATTTATTTTATTTTAGTTTTAAAAATGGCTTCATGCATCCATTTCAGGTTTTAAATTATTTTTCATGTTTAGTTTTATTCATTTAGTACTTATAGTACACAAACCTTTTTAAGTTAGTTGCCAAGGCAACATTTTTGTTGCTAATATGTATATTTATCATTTAAATATAAATTACATTATATTTATAATTTATATTAATTAGTTATTTTCTATTTCCGCTTTATTTCAGTGAACCCAAAATGTTTTTAATAGATTTCGTTTTAGTTAACGTTAAAGTTTTAGTTTAGATAACAACTCTGACTCAGATGCACAATTCCTTTAAATGAATGTATGTGTGTGCGTTTTGCCGGTGCAGCTGGAGGATTTTGAGGAGGAGGCCTTGTTTCACACCGGCTGTAAGGAGTATTTCTGGCTGCTCTGTAAACTCATTGACAACATCCACGTGAAAGACGCCAGTCAGACCACCCTGCTGGACCTGGACGCTCTGGCGCGACACCTCGCCGACTGCATCCGCAGGTCAAACACGCTCCTTTTGCTTGGGTTACGGCATCAGTTTCCTTATGAACCCGTAACTTACCCCTTCAGAGTGCAACCACAAGCAAACAAACGTTTTTAGTTTTAATGGAAAATCACTGGTAACATTATGCTACTAAGAAAGTAACTGAGCAAAAATGCACGATTTATCTTTCTAAATACACATGCTGTTGTTTTTCCACTTGCAGTCGTGAGATTTTGGACCAGCAAGACGGGGCGATCGAGGATGACGGTCTGACAGGTCTCCTGCGTCTCGCCACCAGCGTCCTGAAGCACAAACCTCCCTTTAAGTTTTCTCGGGAGGGTCAGGAGTTCCTCAGGGACACGTATGACCTGCTGTTCCTGCTGCCCAGCCTGAAGGACCGGCAGCAGCCCAAATGCAAGAGTCCCGCGGCACGCGCCGCGGCCTACGACCTGCTGGTGGAGGTGGTCAAGGGTTCGGTGGAGAACTACAGACTGCTGCACAACTGGGTCATGTCGCAGCACATGCAGGGTGAGCGCTACAACCATGAGTGTGTTGCACCGTTCTTCTGTGGACATTTCCGATTTGTGTTGTCTTTAAATTAGGCTGATTAGATTTTTGGTAACACTTTACTATAAACTTTCTTAGTTAACCGTAGTTAGTTAACATGAACTAACAATGAAAAATTCTTTGTAATGTTAATATCATTACATGTACTGATCATAGACTGTATAAAAACATGGACGTAGTGTCTGTGACGTCACCTGTTTATTTCTGAGGAGCGTTTTTGAAGCCTAAAGTAGGCGGAGCCGGCCGTCGTCATCTTGGCAGCCCGTCACCGAGCGTCACTCCCGAATAATCGAAAATGGGCAAAGAGGCAGGAGCTGGTTGCTGAAGCCATGCCCACCTAGCTCGACGGTGGTGACAGCAGCGGCAATCCACCTGTCACTCAAGTGGCCACGCCCTTAATTATGCACAACTTTAAGGCTTAATATGATTTAAACAGATGAGTTATAAAAAAAATTCACCCCTCTCACAGTTGTTATGAAGGGCATTAAATTAGCTATATAGATCACGTTTTGTACCAGGCTGTAAATTTATTTATTTTTTGCTGTAAAGTTGGGCATTTTAACATGGGGAGCCCATCGACTGGCCGCTAGAGGCTGGCTCCAAAAGGGAGTTGTTTTAGTCACTTCCGTGTTGGTTTCACGAGAGAGAGCGGAAGGTTGCCGCTTGGTACTAATATTTTTTTTCAATCAGAACTTTCTGATGTAATATCTGTTAATATTGTTTAATTATATATATATATATATATATATATATATATAATTTGCTTTCATTTTAGTTTTTGATAATGTTATAATGTGCTTTTGTCATTTTATTTAATATTTCTAAATAGTAGATTTAAATTAGAATGAATTTTTTTTACTTCATTTATTTTATTTTAGTTTTAAAAATGGCTTCATGCATCCATTTCAGGTTTTAAATTATTTTTCATGTTTAGTTTTATTCATTTAGTACTTATAGTACACAAACCTTTTTAAGTTAGTTGCCAAGGCAACATTTTTGTTGCTAATATGTATATTTATCATTTAAATATAAATTACATTATATTTATAATTTATATTAATTAGTTATTTTCTATTTCCGCTTTATTTCAGTGAACCCAAAATGTTTTTAATAGATTTCGTTTTAGTTAACGTTAAAGTTTTAGTTTAGATAACAACTCTGACTCAGATGCACAATTCCTTTAAATGAATGTATGTGTGTGCGTTTTGCCGGTGCAGCTGGAGGATTTTGAGGAGGAGGCCTTGTTTCACACCGGCTGTAAGGAGTATTTCTGGCTGCTCTGTAAACTCATTGACAACATCCACGTGAAAGACGCCAGTCAGACCACCCTGCTGGACCTGGACGCTCTGGCGCGACACCTCGCCGACTGCATCCGCAGGTCAAACACGCTCCTTTTGCTTGGGTTACGGCATCAGTTTCCTTATGAACCCGTAACTTACCCCTTCAGAGTGCAACCACAAGCAAACAAACGTTTTTAGTTTTAATGGAAAATCACTGGTAACATTATGCTACTAAGAAAGTAACTGAGCAAAAATGCACGATTTATCTTTCTAAATACACATGCTGTTGTTTTTCCACTTGCAGTCGTGAGATTTTGGACCAGCAAGACGGGGCGATCGAGGATGACGGTCTGACAGGTCTCCTGCGTCTCGCCACCAGCGTCCTGAAGCACAAACCTCCCTTTAAGTTTTCTCGGGAGGGTCAGGAGTTCCTCAGGGACACGTATGACCTGCTGTTCCTGCTGCCCAGCCTGAAGGACCGGCAGCAGCCCAAATGCAAGAGTCCCGCGGCACGCGCCGCGGCCTACGACCTGCTGGTGGAGGTGGTCAAGGGTTCGGTGGAGAACTACAGACTGCTGCACAACTGGGTCATGTCACAGCACATGCAGGGTGAGCGCTACAACCATGAGTGTGTTGCACCGTTCTTCTGTGGACATTTCCGATTTGTGTTGTCTTTAAATTAGGCTGATTAGATTTTTGGTAACACTTTACTATAAACTTTCTTAGTTAACCGTAGTTAGTTAACATGAACTAACAATGAAAAATTCTTTGTAATGTTAATATCATTACATGTACTGATCATAGACTGTATAAAAACATGGACGTAGTGTCTGTGACGTCACCTGTTTATTTCTGAGGAGCGTTTTTGAAGCCTAAAGTAGGCGGAGCCGGCCGTCGTCATCTTGGCAGCCCGTCACCGAGCGTCACTCCCGAATAATCGAAAATGGGCAAAGAGGCAGGAGCTGGTTGCTGAAGCCATGCCCACCTAGCTCGACGGTGGTGACAGCAGCGGCAATCCACCTGTCACTCAAGTGGCCACACCCTTAATTATGCACAACTTTAAGGCTTAATATGATTTAAACGGATGAGTTATAAAAAAAATTCACCCCTCTCACAGTTGTTATGAAGGGCATTAAATTAGCTATATAGATCACGTTTTGTACCAGGCTGTAAATTTATTTATTTTTTGCTGTAAAGTTGGGCATTTTAACATGGGGAGCCCATCGACTGGCCGCTAGAGGCTGGCTCCAAAAGGGAGTTGTTTTAGTCACTTCCGTGTTGGTTTCACGAGAGAGAGCGGAAGGTTGCCGCTTGGTACTAATATTTTTTTTCAATCAGAACTTTCTGATGTAATATCTGTTAATATTGTTTAATAAACCTGATCTAACATGAACTAACAAGGAACAGGTGTATTTTATTAACTAACATTAACAAAGATTTATAAATTCTGTAACAAATGTATTGCTCATGGTTAGTTAATGCATTAACTAAAGATGGTTATTGTAAAGTGTTACTGATTGATTTTTTAAAATCCAAACCCTTATTTAGATAAAGAATTATTTTTTATCAAGGTTGTCCTCATAAATTGATTTTAGGAGGTTTCACTATGCTTTTTAGAGCTCACAAGTATTAAAAAACATACACAAAATTTACATTATATTTTTATTAGTTTTTTTGTTTTTAAATTTAAATAAATTTTTTGCTTTCTTTTTTTCCATTTTTATTTTTAGTAATTTTAGTATTTCAATTTAAGTGAGTGAGTGAAGTAAACTAGAGCTGCAAGATTAATCGAAATTAAATCACGATCGCAATTAGGCAGAAGCTGCAATTGTCATGTGTATCTTTCAGTGAAGCACGGTTCTGTGATCAGCAGTAAATCTCCATCCGAAAGCCAGAGGGCGCTCTCGCGCTGAAACATAGCCTTTATCACTGCTTAGAATACAATGAATACATGTTGCGTGCCTTATTCTGTGTAAGAAGCCACATCATCTCACAGAAGGATTTATTTCAAACACTCGACTGACGTTATGATTTGAGTTTGGAGTAAAAACATGTTATTAAATGTGGTATTTTCACGTGCTCTCAGATGGAGCAGCATTTACTTCACAAAGCCGTAGTTCACTGAGAAGATACGCAAACAGCTTTCATAATTGCAGAACGATTTCATAATCGCACGATTAAATCGGTCTGCGATTAGGAACTCGATTTTGCGTAGCTTGTCAGTGAACAACGGCTCTGTGTATTAAATGCTGCTCCATCTGAAAGCACGTGCTGGAGGTTTACTACTAATCACAGAACTGGCGATGCGCATGACAATCGCATTCGATTAATCGTGCAGCTCTAATTTAAATTTTTTTTTTTTTTAAGTATTTTATATTATTGTATTTTCACAGCTTAATTTCAATTAACGAAAACAATTTTAATAGTTTTTGTTAATATCAACACTGATAAATGCATACTTGCGTATATGTAAACATACGCGCTTTGGTTTGATCTTTGGTGTTTGTTTGTTTGCTTTTTTTAGCATCGCATGCTCCGTATAAATGGGATTACTGGCCTCATGATGATGTCAGAGCAGAGTGCCGTTTTGTGGGATTGACTAACCTTGGCGCCACGTGTTACCTGGCCTCCACCATTCAACAGCTCTACATGATCCCGGAGGCCAGACAGGCCGTCTTTACTGCTAAAGTGAGTTCATAAAACAAGTCTGATCTGATCAGCTGTTTTCTATTTGTTATATATTATAAAATGTAGTTTATTCCTGTGATCAAAGCTGAATTTTCAGCATCATTACTCCAGTGTCACATGATTCTTCAGAAATCATTCTGATATGCTGATTTGCTGCTCAAGAAACATTTCTGATTATTATCAATGTTGAAATAATGAAACTTAATATTTTGCGTAAAACTATGATACGTTTTGTTTCAGGATTTTGTGATGAATAGAAAGTTCAAAACAACAGCATTTATTTGAAATAGAAATCTTTTGCAACATTATAGATGCTTTTACTTTTACTCTTGATCAATTGAATATGTCCTTGCTGAATAGAAGCATCTAAGCTGTCGTGACATAAATGTGATAATTCATGACAGGCCATGCATTACCATCATTTTACAACAGTTTAAAATAGTTGAAATGTACATTCCTGCGTGGCTTTTTGTTTAGTAACACACAGACGCCATTGTTTGGTTTAAAATGGTTTGTTGGATTTGTGCTTTATAGTAATATCTGTGTTTGTCTGTGTTGATATACAGTATTCAGAGGACATCAAGCATAAGACCACATTGCTGGAGCTGCAGAAGATGTTCACTTATCTAATGGTATGTGACTTTATCACATGATGTAATCTCATGACTGCAGATGTGATTTGAATGTTTCTCCGATGTGCAGGAGAGTGAGAGGAAGGCGTATAACCCTCGTCCCTTCTGTAAGACCTACACGATGGACAAACAGCCTCTGAACACAGGAGAGCAGAAAGACATGACCGAGTTCTTCACAGACCTCATCACCAAGATAGAGGAGATGTCTCAGGACCTGGTACGACATCCGTCTCTGTGTGTTTAAAAACCGCTTCGAGTGAGTTTAGTGAAACAGGCACACACTTGTAATGCTCGTGTGCTTGTTGTTTCAGAAAAACACAGTCAAAACGCTGTTTGGAGGCATCATCACCAACAATGTGGTTTCACTGGTAAGACTTGAGCTGTTTGAACCTGCAGCTCTTGTGTGTGGATGTGTCTTTTCTGAAAGAGACCGGTCGTGGATGAGCGTTTAATTGGATATCTGTGTGTGTGTGTGTGTGTGTGTAGGACTGTGATCACGTGAGTCAGACGGCTGAGGAGTTTTACACAGTCAGATGTCAGGTGGCCGATATGAAGAACATCTATGTGAGTGTTTCTCATTTTCACACACATAAACACACTCATCTGAAGGAAACTCCATGCTCTTTGTGTACAGGTCATTAGCAGGAACAGGATTTAGAGGTTTTACTACTAAATATGGGTTTTTCAGTGGATGTTGTTTTTTTTTAAATGTCATGTGATGGTAGCTTTGCATAGTACCGATAGCTATTTGTAGTTACTAATGCTAAAGCACTATATCATTTCAAGCCTGCAACAGTACGTTTGGTATTGATGCACTTAATATTTGAATTGTTTACTGAGTAAACATTGCTCTATTTTTATGTCACACATTGTAATCGGAAAAAATATATATTAGTAATCCATAATAGATAAACACTATTACAATCGACATGTTTTGGGTGGGTCAGTGGAAGAATGGCTAATAATAGCCTTGTCTGTAAATAACACCACATTATTTTCAGTCAGTTTTTTTTTGTACTTCGTGCAAGAGAAATACTTTGTCTGCCAAAAAAAAATAAAAAATGATCGGTGTCGTTTTTTCTCATTACAGAGCTTGATGAGGCCAAAATAAGTATAAAACATAATGAAATACTACTTAAGACTGCTTTATTGTTTTTTACATATTGCTCTCATAATGTAATGTGAGATTACATTACAGAGTTTGAATGAGATCAAACTGTTATATCAGAAAATGCCTTAATCATAAAACAACAATATAATTTTTTTTTTATATATATAAACCAAATACTGTTTAAAAGTTTTTTTTGAGAGAGAGAGAGAGAGAGAGAAGTCTCTTATGTTCACCAAAGCTACATTGATCAAAAATACAGTAAAAAAATAACTGTTTTCTATTTGAATACATTTTTTTTTTTTTAAATCAAAAATACAGTAAAAAAATAACTGTTTTCTATTTGAATACATTGTAAAATGAAATTTGTTGCTGAGATCAAAGCTGAATGTTCAGCATCATTACTCCAGTCTTCAGTGTCACATGATCCTTCAGAAATCATTCTGATATGCAGATGAAGAAACATATTATAAAAAAGTAATGTGACAGGGTTGTCCTGTTGGTTAAGAATAAGTCAACGAGATAACCAGAGCACACAAATGAAGCATTTCAAGTCCTTTTATTCCCCCGATTGAGTGTTACTGAAACCACCAGTCAAACAGAATCCAGCCCTAAAATGAATATAAATGCATCATCCGTGTCTCCGTCTCTGTGCTTCAGGAGTCTCTGGACGAGGTGACCATTAAGGACACTCTGGAGGGTGATAACATGTACACCTGCTCTCAGTGTGGGAAGAAAGTCCGCGCTGAAAAACGGTAAAGTTTGCTTTTTTTCTTCCTCTGAGAGCTGAAATCTTTCTGTCAAGGCACCTGAATATTTTCTGACAGCTCTTTCTGTCTCTCAGGGCTTGTTTTAAGAAGCTCCCGCGGATCTTGAGCTTTAACACCATGCGCTATACATTCAACATGGTGACCATGATGAAGGAAAAAGTAAACACGCACTTTTCTTTCCCGCTGCGGCTCGACATGACGCCGTACACCGAGGACTTCCTCATGGCCAAGGGAGACAGGAAGGAAGGTAAAGCGATTGTTCTGCCGAAACACAGCCTATTTAAATTGTGTTGGTCTTCTCCAGTCGGCTAATCATGATGTCATTCGCAGGTTTCCGTGACGACAGTGATGCCAAAGTGGTGGAGAGTTACGAGTATGACCTCATCGGTGTGACGGTGCACACGGGCACGGCAGACGGCGGCCATTATTACAGCTTCGTCAGGGACATCATCAACCCGCACGCTTACCGCAATAACAAGTGGTGATTATTCACACTGCATTTACAGCTGCTGAAGCATTTCAACCCAAAGTCTGTTATTGAGAACTGACCAACATGTGCGTTTGTGATGATGCCGTTTCCTGTTGCAGGTACCTGTTTAACGACGCTGAGGTGAAGTCGTTTGATTCGGCTCAGCTGGCCTCAGAATGTTTTGGTGGAGAGATGACGGTATGTTTTTTGATATTTTTCCCATCAGATCAAGTCATCCTATATACTTTTGGGATAAACTAATATAAATAACAGTCTAGTTAATGTTGTTTTAATTCAGAAATGCTCATATCTCATTTCAGACAAAAACATATGACTCTGTCACAGACAAGTTCATGGATTTCTCCTTTGAGAAGGTTGGTTTTGCGATAATAACAACAACAACAGTAATAATAATTATAAAAGAACAGAATAATGATAAATATGATTTGATAAATTAATGAATATTATGATTTCGTTTTATTTTGCATATTAATTGTAATTATTATAGTAATAGTAATACATAATTTTGTACAATATTATTTTATATATTAATATATATTTTATATTAATTGTATTATAGTAAAAAATTGTATTATAATCTAGTATTATAATTATTAAAGTAATAATAAATTATGATTTCATTTTATTTTACATACTATTATTATAATACATATAATTAATATCACATTTTTATATATACATAATTTAATTAATTATAATTATTATAGTAATAAATTATAGGTTGTGTTGCTGTTGTTATTATTTCATTTTATTTTATATATTAATTATAAGAATTGTATTAATTGTAATACTTTTTAATATATTATTATTATTATTATTTTATATATTCATTTTACATTATTTTTATATTGATTATAATTATTATAGTAATAATTAATAATAGATTGTTATTACTATTATTTATATATTATTTTTTATATTCATTATAATTGTAAAAATTCTTATTCTTATTTAAATAGGTCTCGCTCAAGATTGTAAACTGCCCATAAATGCTCTGTAAACAAAGTAACGTGTGATGTGTCTGTCTTTCAGACCCACAGTGCCTACATGCTGTTCTATAAGAGAGTGGAGGAGGAGAATGAGAAGGACTTGAACTTTGACATTTCTCCTGACCTTCTGGAGGTACAGACAGAGATTATCTTACTATAGGGAGGATAAGAGGGTCTGTATTACTTGCTATTGGAGAAAGCGTAACGGCTAACTTTGGTCACGTGTCCCTTAACAACCAATCACATTACAGCCTTGACGTCATTGAATTTCATTGAAGTTGTGCAACACTCAATCACCGTTTACGGATCCCATAGGAATGAATGGGAAGTGCCGTAAGCTGAATCACACCTGTCGCAAAAAGTCAGCGACTTCTCTTATAAAAAAGCATTTATTCGTGGTAAACGCTCCCACAATGCTGCAGTGGATCGAACTCTTGACCAAACAATTTAACAATAGCCAAGCTGCCTGTGAGGTAACACACACACACACACACACACACACACACACACACACTTTATATCTAGCTTATTTTTTCATAGCATCTTCTGCTCTGGAAAATCACTTGTGAGAAAAATGAATGGAGTGAGTTGATGAGATCTGTGTCTTTGTGTGCGCAGTGGTTTTTGGATCAGATGGCAGATGATAACTGGTGGCCAATGCAGATTCTCATCAAGTGTCCCAATCAGATTGTACGTCAGGTGAGTGTTACATAAACAACTTTACTTAAATGTAATTTTAAATAAATATAATTATAATAATAATTCTTATTTTTATCATAATTATTAACAGACAAACCCACACCCTTCCCCTTAAAGAAAACATTGTTAAAAAAAAAAAAAAAAGTTTTTCAGAAAATTTGATTAAATTAACATATAATACTCATAATGTGATGTTTCAGATGTTTCAGAGGTTGTGTATTCACGTGATCCAGCGCCTCAGACCGGTCCACGCTCACCTGTACCTGCAGCCGGGCATGGAGGACGGGTGTGTGATGCATCCCTTTTTGTCTTCCTCTGGAGCCAAATAACATCCTTTCCTCATGTCTTCAAAGCCATGTGCTGTTATACTGTCAGGAAAGTAGAGACTTGTTCTATAAACCTTCTCATTTCTGCTGGCTGTTGTTGTTCTGCTCTGTCTGCAGCTCTGATGATATGGATGGGCCGGTGGAGGACATCGGCAGCCGCTCATGTGTGACGCGGTTCGTCAAAACGCTGCTGTCAATCATGGAGCACGGAGTGAAGCCGCACAGCAAACATCTGACTGAATACTTTGCCTTCCTCTATGAGTTTGCCAAAATGGGAGAAGAGGAGGTAACATATACTTACTCAATCGCCTACTTTTATTTTATTTTATTTTTGTATTTTTTTAATTGTTCTTCAAACATACACCTTTGTTTACTTCTGTGCTGCTCTGCAACCACTTTGTTGGAACCACAACTGTTTCTGAGGAACTACATTGTTTGGTGGAAGAATACTGTTTTTATTAATATCATTACACTTTATTTGCTCCGTTTTATTTTGTGAAACCTTACTACGTATATGGAATAACCGTTTTATCAAAGCAATAAGCCCTGTGAAGCCGTGGTTTACAGTGAATTTATAACAGCTAAGGGGGTTTTACTCCGCTTCGCATCGTGTCTAACAACGCCCCTTAGCTGTTATAAATTCACTGTAAACCACGGCTTCATGGGGCTTATTGCTTTAATTTATTTATTTTTACCTACTTGTTTATTTACTTTTTTTACTTTATGTATTTATTTATCTATTTAATTTCTGTATTTATTTACTTATTTGTTTTACTTTATTTACCTATTTATTTATATTTATCTATTTATTTTATGTATTTACTTATTTAATTTGTTTAATTTTTTTATTTTACTCATGTATTTACTTTATTTACCTACTTATTTTATTTTATTATTTATGTATCTACTTTAGTTATTTTACTTATTTAATGTATTTATTTACTTAATTTTTTTTACTTATTTATTTATTTACATACCTACTTATATTACTTGCTTCATTTTAGGCATTTATTTATTATTTACTAAAATTTGAACATTTTTAAAGTATATTCTTTATTTTCTTGCTTTAATTTATTTTTACCTACTACCTGTAACAGCATGTCTCCAGGCTCAATCCTGCCGTCAGCCGCCACCGCGCCACCTTTCATAATGGAGCCAATATAGATGCCTCCATCTCCTCTGTCATTACTCTGACCCACTATACTGATGCCCAGGAAGTTGTACTTCTCTGTGAGAAAAAGAGATCAGGCTGTTTCCAAATGACGTGTTCATCTATATTTAGAGCACACTGTGCACACTAGACCTTGAAAAACAGGAGGTTCAGTTTAATAAGCAGGTGGAGTGGACAGATAAGAGAAAAGGGAGAAGGCACAGGGATGGATGATGGGGGAAAAGAAGGGAATGAACTAGTGAATAAGTTCTTACCCATATTGAGAGTGACAGTGATAATGTTGAGACTCATTGTGGAGTCTGTAATACTACTGAAGGATGAGGACTGTCAAAAATACATACAAAAGATTAGTACAGATCAAACACTAATATGTAGAGATGTGTACTTTTTCCTCAATGTTTCTCACCCTGTCCATTTTGGTGACTTTCTGCCTCCGTCGTCGGCGTTTGTGTCTACGCATGAGGTGTGATGAAGAGCTCTGCTCGGTTGAACTGCTAAGTCTGTGGCTTCAGACAAAATGAGAGGTCACAGCAGATGTCAACGCTACACTAATGAAGCAGCATGTTTTTATGAAACTCTAAGTGCACTATTTTGGTGGCCAAACATGATCTCCAATATGAGTTCAGTTTTGAGGCCAATTCTCCATTAGGTTCTCAATTAAAACTACTGCCACATAATTTATTTTGACATTATAACGGTTTAATTCTGACTAGCACTGAGGCATTCACATATTTAAAAAAAAAAAAAAAAAAGTTTTTCAGAAAATTTGATTAAATTAACATATAATACTCATAATGTGATGTTTCAGATGTTTCAGAGGTTGTGTATTCACGTGATCCAGCGCCTCAGACCGGTCCACGCTCACCTGTACCTGCAGCCGGGCATGGAGGACGGGTGTGTGATGCATCCCTTTTTGTCTTCCTCTGGAGCCAAATAACATCCTTTCCTCATGTCTTCAAAGCCATGTGCTGTTATACTGTCAGGAAAGTAGAGACTTGTTCTATAAACCTTCTCATTTCTGCTGGCTGTTGTTGTTCTGCTCTGTCTGCAGCTCTGATGATATGGATGGGCCGGTGGAGGACATCGGCAGCCGCTCATGTGTGACGCGGTTCGTCAAAACGCTGCTGTCAATCATGGAGCACGGAGTGAAGCCGCACAGCAAACATCTGACTGAATACTTTGCCTTCCTCTATGAGTTTGCCAAAATGGGAGAAGAGGAGGTAACATATACTTACCTACTTTTCTACTTTTATTTTATTTTATTTTTGTATTTTTTTAATTGTTCTTCAAACATACACCTTTGTTTACTTCTGTGCAACCACTCAACCACTTTGTTGGAACCACAACTGTTTCTGAGGAACTACATTGTTTGGTGGAAGAATACTGTTTTTATTAATATCATTACACTTTATTTGCTCCGTTTTATTTTGTGAAACCTTACTACGTATATGGAATAACCGTTTTATCAAAGCAATAAGCCCTGTGAAGCCGTGGTTTACAGTGAATTTATAACAGCTAAGGGGGTTTTACTCCGCTTCGCATCGTGTCTAACAACGCCCCTTAGCTGTTATAAATTCACTGTAAACCACGGCTTCACGGGGCTTATTGCTTTAATTTATTTATTTTTACCTACTTGTTTATTTACTTTAAGTTTATGTATTTATTTATCTATTTAATTTCTGTATTTATTTACTTATTTGTTTTACTTTATTTACCTATTTATTTATATTTATCTATTTATTTTATGTATTTATTTAATTTGTTTAATTCACTGTAAACCACGGCTTCACGGGGCTTATTGCTTTAATTTATTTATTTTTACCTACTTGTTTATTTACTTTAAGTTTATGTATTTATTTATCTATTTAATTTCTGTATTTATTTACTTATTTGTTTTACTTTATTTACCTATTTATTTATATTTATCTATTTATTTTATGTATTTACTTATTTAATTTGTTTAATTTTTTTATTTTACTCATGTATTTACTTTATTTACCTACTTATTTTATTTTATTATTTATGTATCTACTTTAGTTATTTTACTTATTTAATGTATTTATTTACTTAATTTTTTTTACTTATTTATTTATTTACATACCTACTTATATTACTTGCTTCATTTTAGGCATTTATTTATTATTTACTAAAATTTGAACATTTTTAAAGTATATTCTTTATTTTCTTGCTTTAATTTATTTTTACCTACTTGTTTATTTACTTTTTTTACTTTATGTATTTATTTAGCTATTTAATTTCTGTATTTATTTACTTATTTGTTTTACTTTATTTACCTACTTATTTATTTTACTTATTTACTTTTATTTGCTTATTTGACCTGTTTCATTTTATTTATGTATCTACTTTAGTTGTTTTACTTATTTATTTACGTACCTACTTATTTATTTTACTTGCTTCATTTTAGGTATTTATTTATTATTTGCTCAAATTGGACAATTTTTAAAGTATGTTCTTTATTTATTTTTTCTTTTAATCTTTATTTTTTTCTTCTTTAGGCATTTATTTATTATTTACTAAAATTTGAACATTTTTAAAGTATATTCTTTATTTTCTTGCTTTAATTTATTTTTACCTACTTGTTTATTTACTTTTTTTACTTTATGTATTTATTTAGCTATTTAATTTCTGTATTTATTTACTTATTTGTTTTACTTTATTTACCTACTTATTTATTTTACTTATTTACTTTTATTTGCTTATTTGACCTGTTTCATTTTATTTATGTATCTACTTTAGTTGTTTTACTTATTTATTTACTTAATTTTTTTTACTTATTTATTTACGTACCTACTTATTTATTTTACTTGCTTCATTTTAGGTATTTATTTATTATTTGCTAAAATTGGACAATTTTTAAAGTATGTTCTTTATTTATTTTTTCTTTTAATCTTTATTTTTTTCTTCTTTTTGTCTTCACAGAGTCAGTTCCTCTTGTCTTTGCAAGCCATTTCTATAATGGTGCATTTCTACATAGGCACTAAAGGACCTGAAAATGTGAGTGGCATCTCATCAGGCTTGATCTTCTCTGATTCAGGGTTTCCCTGATCTCAGATCATCACGTCCATCTCTCTGTCTCTCAGCCTCAGGTGGAGGTGTTATCTGAGGAGGAGGAGGGTGAGGAGGATGAAGAGGAGGACATCCTCTCACTGGCGGAGGAGAAGTACAGGCCAGCCGCTCTGGAGAAGATGATCGCGCTCATAGCTCTGCTGGTGGAGCAGTCCAGATCCGAGAGGTACACACTGAAGAATTGGGTTTTAATCTCACAAAACATACCATATTTCACCCCAAAATTCCTTTAAAGAAAATGAAACCTGTGTTAGGGCTGTTGAAAGTAGTTTCTGTAGTGTTGTTGGCATCAGTCATTTGTACTTTTTTCTTTTTAACCGAGGCTTTGTTTTAGTAATGTCTGATTGTCTCCGTCTATCTGCAGACACTTGACTCTGTCTCAGAGTGACATGGCCGCACTGACCGGAGGAAAAGGTTTCCCCTTCCTGTTCCAGCACATCAGAGACAGCATCAACATCCGACAGACTTGCAACCTCATATTCAGCCTCTGCAGATACAACAACCGCCTGGCTGAACATGTAAGACGCACGCTAGCTACGCACGTAGTGTATCTCAGTGTCCTTCAAGTATTTCTAAGCATGCAAACAATTATATCAAGCTATAACATAACATGGTTTGTGTTCTTCTGTTGGTATAGATCGTGTCAATGCTGTTCACCTCTATCGCTAAACTGACTCCAGAGGTAAGAACAACTCTACTACTATTATTGATTTATTATTTGATTGTTCCACACACTAACTAACATTTTGTGCATGTCTATCAGGCGGCAAATCCGTTCTTCAAGCTGCTGACGATGCTGATGGAGTTTGCTGCAGGTCCTCCGGGAATGCCCTCGTTTGCGTCCTACATCCTGCAGAGGATCTGGGAGGTAAATCGGCCCACAGACAGCCCCATCGCTCTTACACTTTCTCACTTCTTCACTGAAATGTTGCTTCACATCTGAGTTTTGTGTCAGTGATGTTTGGAGAGCTTCATACGCTGATGTTCTGATCTCTGTCTGTCAGGTGATCGAGTATAACCCGTCTCAGTGTTTGGACTGGTTGGCCGTTCAGACTCCGCGTAATAAGCTGGCTCACAGCTGGGTTCTGCAGAACATGGAGAACTGGGTGGAGAGGTTTCTGCTGGCGCACAACTACCCACGAGTCCGAACATGTAAGAACACACAAAATCTACACACACACATGCATTAAATTGACCAAAAATATTAACTGTTTTCAACACGTATAATAATAATAAATGGTTCTTGAGCGGCAAATCAGCATTTTAGAATGATTTCTGAAGGATCATGTGACACTGATGATGCTGAAAATTCAGCTTTGATCACAGGAATAGATTACATTTTAAAATTCTGTATATTTACATAGAAAACAGCTATTTTAAATTGTAATAAGATTTCACAATATTACTGTATTTTTGATCAAATAAATGCAGCCTTGGTGAGCAGAAGAGACTTCTTTCAAAAACATAAAAAATCTTACTGACCTCAAACCAGTGTTATTTTAGAATTATTGATATTATATTATATTTTTTGTTAATATTTTAAGTTAGATTTGTAAAAATATTTTCTTTTTTAATTTTAGTTTTAAACATTTTATTGTGTACTGATATTTGTATTCGTTTTTTTTCTTTCTTTTAAATGTCAGTTTAGTTTTTAAGTTTAATTTATTAGTTTTACTTAATTTAGTATTTTAACTAAAACTAAATGAAAATGAGTACTGTTGCTTTGGCAACAAGCTGAAATAAGTCATTTAAGTTTTTTTGTGTTTTATTTTATCTTTATTTAACTAAAATGTTTTATTTTTTATTGTTTTACTTTATGATAATAACACTGGCCCAAACTTTTGAACTGTAGTGTATATATGAATACACATGATAATAGCATCAAGAACTACACACATGCTTAAAAATATCTGAATGGATAACATTTAGGTGTCCAAACAAACATCTACAACATGAATAGCTAATCTTATTTTTATTTTGCCTGGTAAACTGTCAGATTGTACATTATTTTGTGACATATATAATAAATCTCTCTCTCAGCTGCGGCGTATCTGCTGGTATCTCTCATCCCGAGCAACTCCTTCCGTCAGATGTTCCGCTCCACACGTTCTCTTCACATCCCCACGCGGGACCTCCCGCTGAGTCCCGACACCACCGTGGTTCTGCACCAGGTCTACAACCTGCTGCTGGGCCTGCTGGGCCGGGCCAAGCTCTACGTGGACGTGCCGGTGCATGGGACCACCAAACTGGTGCAGTACTTCAGCTTCATGACCTACTGCCTCATCTCCAAAACCGAGAAGCTCATGTTCTCCAGCTACTTCATGGACCTCTGGAACCTCTTCCAGGTACTTCACGTGCAGACGAAAGCATGTCTAGGTGCTCATATGATGCATATTTGAGCTCTCATGTGTCTCTCTCGATCTCACAGCCTAAGTTATCAGAGCCAGCCATCGCCACGAATCACAACAAGCAAGCGCTTCTGTCCTTCTGGTATAACGTCTGCATGGACTGCAGCGAGAATGTGCGTCTCATCGTCCAAAACCCAGTCGTCACAAAAAACATTGCCTTCAACTACATCCTGGCCGATCACGACGATCAGGAGGTGGTGCTGTTCAACCGCGGGATGCTGCCGGCGTATTACGCCATCCTGCGCATGTGCTGCGAGCAGTCGCCCACCTTCACCCGCCAGCTGGCCTCACACCAGAACATACAGTGGGCCTTCAAAAACCTCACGCCCCACGCCAGCCAGTACCCAGGGGTGAGCACAACATCCTCTGTCCTTCACTTCAGCAGTTTCTGAACCAGTTACCAAAGTTATTACAAGAAATATGACCAAACACATATTTGTCTTTCATTTACAGTGGTGTGAAAAAGTGTTGGCCCCCTTCCTGATTTCTTATTTTTTGCCTGTTTGTCACACTTTAAGGTTTCATATCATCAAACAAATTTAAATATTAGTCAAAGATAACACAAGTAAACACAACATGCAGTTTTTAAATGAAGGTTTTTATTATTAAGGGAAAACAAAATCCGAAACTACATGGCCCTGTGTGAAGAAGTGTTTGTCTCCCTGTTAAGTTCAATTTCTCTAGCCACACCCAGGCCTGATTACTTCCACACCTGTTCGCAATCAAGAAATCTCTTAAATAGGGCCTGCCTGACAAAGTGAAGTAGACCAAAAGATCCTCAAAAGCTAGACATCATGCCGAGATCCAAAGAAATTCAGAAACAAATGAGAAAAAGAGATCTATCGGTCTGGAAAAAGGTTATAAAGCCATTTCTAAAGCTTTGGGACTCCAGCAAACCACAGTGAGAGCCATTATTCA